CTGCTGTGAATGTGGGTTATAACTGATATAATGTTAACGTACAGAAAACCAATCTAATAAAGAAAATAAAACTTTGTATATTTGTTAATGAAGCAACAAAATGTCTTAATCACTTGTTTTGATCTTTCTCAGCCTATAAACAAACGAAAAACTTAGGTTGACTTTATTCCTGGTTAGAAGCTTCTTATTTTAATACTGATAGAGTTTGGTTTAAAAGTCTTTAAGATATGCCAGATGCCCAGCTCAGTATAAGCTTTATCTTGAGCTGACATAAAGTGGTAAGTATGGAATTTCAGTGTTCTGGTGTCAGAATTTCCATTTATCCAGACAGTAGGATGAGATAGTATCAGTCTTAAGTGTCATCTTATAATATGATCTTATCTAGATGGCCACTGAAGTGTTCCTTAATGTTCTTTTGGGATTTTCTTATGTCAAGGCAAGACATGCCTTATTTACTTTGCAGGTGTTATCTGCTCTCTTGGTTTCACAAAGGGATTCTGAATTGGGTGGGGAGTGAAAAGAAGGTTATTTAGACCAGCTTGCCACAAAGCTAAGTTTTAGATTTTTCCATTGTGGAAGGGAGATAAAATAAACATAAAAATGGGTGCCATGCTAATAACTGGATTCGGCACAGCAGTGTTTATCACTTAACTGTAGAGCAGTGCTGGTTGTTCTGTTTGATAACATTGCTTTGCCATGCTCAGCCTGGCTCATCTTCCCAGAGGACTAATCACTGCCTTCTGAAAAAGATTTTGCAGGCAGTTTCTACCTGAGAGCTGTGGGAGCTCTTCTAGCTTTGTTTAATGATTTGGCACATTTGTTCACTTGTGTCATTTTTTCACTCCACTGTTTTGGTTTTCCTTATGCTCTTCTGGGCAGATGTTCCTTTCAAAAGAGACTAGTAGGAAGTGTGCTTCAGGAACAGAAATGCTTCCGAAAAGCAAACTTAGTGCTAAAAATGTTTCCAGGTCAAGTCTGGCTTCCTGTTGCAGAAGTTAAAAAGTTTCATATAATGTTGGTCATAAATCTGTCAAGTTCTATTTTAAAGCCAGCTTCTTTGTCCTCATTCCTCTTGTTAGATGTCATTTTTAAAATCTGAAAGAAAAAAACCATCTTCATATACTGCAGTTTAATATGCTGCATAAATTTAATTTATGATGAAGAATACACTAACCTTGTCTACAACCAATTGTTCTTTTTCCTTTTTTGCTTAGTCTTGGAATAAATTGTCTGCCATCTTGGGCTTCAGTTCTTAAAGATGCACAGTCCCAAGGCTTTGGTCCTCCCTAAAAAGAGCAGAACATGCTGCAGAGTCTGTACACAGCACGTTGTCATGCCAAGGACTCGCGTAGTGTGGGGGAGAACAGCTCATCACTAGGAGCTTACACCAGGCTTGATCCTGAGGTGGTCGTGTGTGATTCTGTTCTCCAGTTTAGTATATATTGTACGTCATTTTCACAGCTATTTTTTGCAAGATCTTGCACAAGTATGTGGCTTTTTCTGTGCCCTTTGTAAGGATGAGGAGTAAGCTAGGCAATATTTGAGGTGCGAGTATTGTTTGTGCCTGCGTTTCACTCATCATAAAAAGCTCAGGCTGCGAGAATGTTGCATGGGCACTATCAGAGTGTTCAGTTATGTGATAAAGGGTTTAATCTCTTGCCCTTTTCTACCATCTTGCAGTGCTGCTTATCACAGGTCAAACTGTGTTAAGAGCACTAAGACCTTACCTGGCAGCATATATGGGAAGAATTCACAATTTAGGAGTCTGTTGACAGTTCACTGAATGAAAATGTGCATTGCTGGGAAAAGATTAATTTGGTCAGAAAATTTCAATTTGTCTTTGGTTGGACTTTGCTGTTGCTATTCCTTTGGAATTTGTTTCTTGCCATTAAAGATTTGTAGGTGCTGCATTTTTTTAAGCAGTAACCAAAGGTGCCCGTGGAGGGAATTTCAGTTGGTTTTGTAGGCACTGTGACACTTGTGAGCACCAAGGGGAAGAGGAATACAAGACTGAATGCTGTGAATGTTAAACTCTTCTCACCCTAGAGACAAAAATGTTCTATTTACTAAGTGTATTCAAGAAGGAAATGTGCTTCTTAGCACTCTAATCCCATCACTGGTGACAAGGTAAGCAACGTAGATATTCCGTTGCTGATTTCTAAGGCACAATCAGATATGCTGTATAAATGTTTGTGAATTTGCGTTTGGTATCACAGTCAAAGGGGTCATTGTATCTGATGGAAATAATGATTTGAGAGAATATTTTTTAGTATTTCACTGAGCTAAAGAGTCTAAATCCCTATATATAAATTAGACATATCTTTGACATTTTATCATTTTGTAATTGTAAATATTAGACTTTTCACAGTAGGTAATTGCTTTATTTTCCCAAGCTGCCTTAGTCTCCAAGGACAAGTGATGGGTGAAGTAGAAGCCTGAGTGCCTGAAGTTTTAAAGAGAAAAAAGTATGTGCTACAAGTATAATTCACTTAAACTCCCTTTTTGCTGCTGGGTATCTAATCTCTGATAGAGCCACAGTGAAAAATGCTGTGGAGGAATTTGAAAGGAGACTTGAGTTATAACCTTTAAGAAAATGCAGGGCACTTTCATGGTAAGTGAATTTTCTAATTAAAATGTTAATTGGAAGGATTTGGTCTTGCTTATCGAGGAAAATGTGGTAACCATTTTTCACTGTTGTTTGCATAGCCATGTG